ATGATGAGAACTGTGCTAACCACGTATGTGTTGTGACATGCTGTAGAGTGTGTTTCATGATTCATCAGCTGCACCATGATTGATTGGCCCAGCATCCTGGTAGAGCCCAGAAATTTTTTACTTGTCTCCATATGTGTTCCATGATTCTTCAGGCAATCTCTGATTGACTGGCATGTGGGCTGAACCTAGATTTATTTTTTCCCCATGCCCTGAAATATTTGTTTGGTGACTCATCGTACTTACCTATTGACTGGCACATTGGCAGAGTCCAAAGTTTCTTTACAACATAAAATATTGTTTTATGATTTGTCAGATAAATTGATTGTTTCCTGCTGACACTTGTAGATAAATTCTGCTAGTGTGAACTGGAGGGAAGAATACAACCTTCGGCTTACAGGTACTTAGGGCATTGATAGGGGAAGAGGGTCATATTTTTTGGCTAGAGAGAACAACTCCTTTTACTTGAATGTATAGTCAGACACTGCACTTTTTAAAGAGCTGAAAAATCCCTTACCTTGAAGAAACTGTGTTACCAAATGTAAAGTGAGGACATTATTTTTGCACATTAATTCTTGTTAATATCAGTTTGGTAGCTATGTTGAATAGGACATCCAAGCATGACTAAAAGAAAGGAAGGCCTTATCTCAGCAAAGAGAATAGATTTTTAGCGACAATTTAAATTGTGCCATTTGCCTTGTATCACCAAATCACACCACTGTTCTCTAGCTGACTTTTAATCATACACACATTACTTGAAAATCAAAGAAGAGATTTTAAAAGCTGTCAACAACTTTCGTGCTGGCACTCCAAAAGGGGAGTGACAACTCAGACTCTTTTTTGAATATTGTAGATAATTATTCTTAGGTCATCCTTTCCCCCACCCCACTGCCACACCTCCCCTCAGATAAATAACATTCATCCAGGGTGATGGATTCACAATTTGTAACTCAAAAAATGATTTATTTAGCATTACATGTCATTGTGTAAGAACTGACTCCGTGACAAAAATTTCTGGGAAGCTGATCTTTTCTTTTGTCTAGGAAGATGGATGCACTTTTTAAAGTTAGGTTTCCTCCCACAGTTATTGAAACACAGAGACTGTCACCTAAAATGTATACCTTATGAATCAGGAAAACTATATACCATACCTTTCTACATGGTCTGTGTATATTTCTCCAAACTCTGCCCACACTAGTGTATTTCCACATCTGCAGAAAATATTTTATAGCCTGTTTGGAGTCATTGCAGAACCTTTGCTTTCCAGGTAAAATGAAACCTGAATTGTAGTTGTAATTCTTGCTATTCCAAGAAATAAATATTAGATTTTTATGTTTCCCTCATAATTAGGCTATTTTTATGTCTACTTTAGAATTAAGGAAGGGCATAGATTGAATAAGGTGTCATGCATATCAGTTAACAAAACTGGTGTTCCTGGAATAATTGATGGAATATATGGAAAGGGAAAAGAGAAAAACAGGGCTTTTGCAATGCAGAGAAATGGAAAAAAGGAACTTGACTCCCTTCTGAGTGGCCTGTAAAATAAAGACTTTAAAACTTTATGTTATGAGCTGAGAAATCATAGCACCACAATGAAAATCATGGAAGAACTGAAAAGGATGTCTTTTGATGAAAGCCACAACCTAGGTAGTATTAAGCTCTTTGCCAGGAAGAAGAGGCTAAGGGCACTTCCTAACTAAGACGACTTCCTAGATTAATCCATCTAGTTTTCCTGGTTGAAGGAGAACCAGTTAATCTTCCTTCTTCTTTCCTCCCTTCCTCCTCTTTCTGTGCAGGGTTTCCTTCTCTGGGCTTGCCTTCAGGCATGTCTGTCACTGGAAAGGGCTACCTTGTTCTGGAGTTCAAATTGCAAAGAGATCAGCCAGAGTCAAGGTCTCTTTCCCTCGCTCCCTTTCTCCCTCCTATCCTTCCTCCCAGCCTTCCTCTCTCCGAGTGAATGTTTGCATTTTCATTCCTTGTGACATCATGCAGCTGAGACATCATATGTATCATGAATTCTGCAGGTCTCTAACATTACTGTGGGGTGCCACTTTTGGTTCTTTTATAGTTTTTTTATCAAGAGAGGATTGCTATCAATACCAAGCCAAATGTTTTCTCCTAACCTTGTTTGTATCAAAGAAGTTTACCTAGGTTTTTTAAGAAAAGGGATTAGAAAAACCACTATTTCCTCCTTAATTAACATACTTCTCTTTGGATTTTGGCTTACAGTGACTAAACTTTTACTGACTTCTCCGTTCTAAAAAAGAGTCCTTAAATCTTAAATTCCACTGCACAAAAGATTTCATCAACTTATTTACAATTGGCTTTAAAAGTACTAGCTAAATGGAAACTGCAACTGCTTCTTTTAAATGCCTTTTTTTTTCTTTTGTAGGGAAGATCTTGAATGATGTAAGTCTCTATTCCCCACTTCTTGGCTTATTTTAAGATATAGAAATAAATTGATAAGAAATAATTAATACAATCCACATGAGAGGGAAGTTGATGGGAATGAAAGCAGAGAACTCAGTTGTGCATTTTTTAAATAACTGGGTTTCAGTTTAGTCCAAGCCATCATATTTTTTTTACCACATTAGGAACTAAAGCCTCAGATGCTATTTATGAATCTGTAGAAATTGAACAAAAAAACAGCCAGCATGTCGGGGCCCCAGGACGTGCTCATGTTGCCTACAAGAGTGGTCTAAAAAGACAATGTGTAATATCTAATATGCACTGATTTGCATCTTGTGAAGTCACTTAAGCACTTGCCAAGAGCTAAGTACTGGTGTGTAAACACTTTAATTTTACTTGGTGTGTTTTTCTGTCATCTTGTACATTTTGTGGGCATTTATGACTGTTCAAACAGCAGAAAATTGTTTTCATAAAACCAGAGAAGATTTTGAAGCAGGACTATCGCAAAATCCAAAGTTAATAAAATTGTGGCTAATTGAGTCAGTTTAAAGATACTGTTTGCTAATAGAAGTCTCAGCAAAATTTTTCACTAAAGCCTTCTGTGAATCAGACTGACAGATGTCACCACTGAAATACTGTATTGTATATACTATTTGACTGATACAGTTTATTAAGTCTGTAGTTTAATTTTGTACTTTAGTCTTTGCCAGGTTTGAGTTAAAAAGCACAAACAGTTTAGAAATTGTGTATATTTTCATAAAATGTACTTCATACCTTTCTAAACTTCTGCATTTAAACAGAGAAGTAGAACACACAAGGGAAACATACCAAAAAAGATGTCTGTGTTTGTATGCAAAATAGAAAACAATACCAACCCCCAATGTTATACATTACTGGTCCTGCGTATGTTCTGCTTAAAAATGGGAAAATAAAATAAGAAAATGGAAATGGAGGCAAATTAAAGCAATTTTGGGGCTTTACTTATTTCTGGTGTTGCCATAGAAGAGCATTTCTTGGTTCCAGTGTACTTTCCCATCCGATGAAGAGATGGCTGTAACCCTCTGTTTCATGAGAAGCAGCAATGGGCCCTTCAGCTGTCACTGTATGAAAGTGTTATCATGGAGATCTCCTACATTCAGTTTAGCAGCTACAGCTGGGAAGGAGAAAGGGTGGCCACTCTTTCTCCAGGCACTTGCATTTCTTTACTTGCTTCTACACCTCCTGATTTCAAAGAACAGTAAGGTATCTGTGATGTGATTACATACAGATAAGGAATAACAAGTAAGATAGCTGATAACCTACAGGTCAATAATCTCATGTTCTAGTGAAATCCAGATAAAATCATTGGTTAATTTTTAGATTCTTACAGGAATGTGGTTTGATTTCCAGTTTATTTATACCTGGTCATTCTAAGAAATATTACTCGAAAATAAACAAATCTAGCCATTGCAATGTGAAATAAAATCATGTTATTCTTATACAATAAAATGTATTGTGACATTGTGACTTGACAGCTATTGAAGAAGGATCAGACAAAATTATTTTTTGAGAGAGTCTCAGCTGTATAATACTTGGCATGCTTTGTGTTGTATGACCGCCCATGATTGATAGTCTGAGCAGTAGTGCTGGTATTTGTTTGTGTATTCACAAGCGTAAAGAAAGCACAGGCCTGCAGTACTCCTCCCTTTTCTGAACCATGGATACTGTCAGGTGCATTTATGGCTTTGTGTGCCTAGAATCAGCCATTTCTGCCTCTGAGGCCTTCAGGCTGGAGTTCCTCTATTAATAACCTTCCCAAATAATTATTACTGCATTATCACAGGAACTCTGACTCCAGCCCTGCATCACACTGAACCTCCATTGAATGTAGTCTATAATTTATAGGTTAGATTTTTATGAGGAAAAAACCAGCTGTATATGCCTGCCCAGAGAGAAAATATTTCTAAACAGCCAACAAAGTAGTATTTTCGTAAAGGTAATACTTCCCAGGCTGCACACAGCAGTGTGCTTCCAGCTACATGTAATTAGTAGCAAAATCCAACAGGTGGCACAAAAGTATTTGAATTTTATATTGATTTAAATCATATGCCGTTAAATTACCAAACAAAGTGGAGAGGCTATTTTTGGTTATTAAAAAAAAAGGGGGGGGGGCGGGAAGAAGCGTTATCCCGACGCCGCGGACGATGCTCGCCTCTTCCGAGCAGCCGGGGGTGAGGCCAGCGGCTCGTTGCCTCTCGGGAAGCCCCAGGCAGCCGGGCTCCGAGCCCCTCTCCCCAGCGCTCCGGGGAGGTGACATGGCACTTCCTTCGGCCCTTTCTCCCCGCGGCGGCAGCGCCTCAGCCGGCGGGACGAGGCGGAGGCGGAGGCCGTGGTCGCGGCCGGGGGTCCGGGCGGAGGATGCCCACACACCTACATAACCACCCACCCACCGTCCACGCCGCCGCCCGCGGGTCCCGGTCTCGGCTGGCGGGCGGGAAGCGGGGCGGGCGCCCTCCGCTGGCCGCCGCGGGGCCGGGAGCGGGGCCGGGAGCAGCTCCCGCCGGCGCCGCCTGCCCGCGGCAGTGCCCGGGGTAAGCGGAGAGGGGAGCGAGGGAAGCTTGCCATGACCCTGGAGCCCACCTGCCCGCCGTGAATAAATCCACGAGTAAAAATCTTGGGCTTTCAACGCCGCCCGCCAGGCAGCACTAATGGCGGCTTTGTAGCCCTGAGAAGGTAACTGAGATATTTTTTTTTTTTTTAGTGGACTTATCCTCGAGATTTGTGTGGGGAGGGAGGAGACATGAAGGTTCTCGGGTACCTTTGAAAACGAGAGTTATAAAGGCACGAGTTGCCTGGAATAGTGACATTCAGGAGTTTCAAACACAGCTCAGTTTTCCGCCTTGAAGTGTAGTACACACCACTAAAAGGGGCTTAAAATAAGAGGGAGGGTGACTTCTTACACAGTGAAATAGCGATAGGAAAAGGGGGAAGAGTTTTACATTAGATATTAGGAAGAAATTCTTTACTGTGAGGGTGATGAGGCACTGAAACAAGTTGTCCAAAGAAGCTGTGGATGCCCTATGCTTTGGAGTCTTCGCGACCAGGTCAGATGAGGCTTTGAGAACCTCGTTTAGTGGAAGGGGACCCAGCCCCTATTGGGAATAGGAATTGGAACTAGATGCTCTTTAAGGTCACTTCCAATGCAAGCCACTCTGTGGTTCTGTGTTTTCATACTATGAACATCAGTTATGGAAATATTAAAATGTTAATCTGGGCCTTATGAATAGATTCACAACGTAACGTAAGTTAGGTAATTGCTGTCTTTATTTGCTATTAAAGGACTGTAGTGCATCAGGTGGAGCTTTACTGACATTTTTGTTTCCAAACGTGAATGTAGGAGACATATCAATGGCTTATTCTTATGCAATGGCAGCCCTAAACCTGAAATTTAAGTGCAAGTCAAAGGCCAAGAAAAAGTTGGCCAACGTACTTGGCTTGCTGAATTGTCTGAGAGTGAGGCAAAGAAAAAGAGGTGAAAGAGAAGTTGGGCAATTGCCATAAACTAGAAAGGGGAGCACTAGTTTTGCATAAATATTTGCAGCAAAGGTCTGTAAGAGACTTACATCTGCGATAAAAGGTTTTAATTCATGCCATTTTACTTTATATATTTATTTCTAATTAAACAAAGAAATTGTTTCAGCTTCTTAGTGAAGAGTTCCTCTGCAGGTGCTTGAAACAGATTCAGTTTCCAAGGAGCAAACTGATGATCTCTATTTCTGTGGGACCAAGCTGGAGCAAATCGTGATAGCAAATGGCAAATGTAGTGCCATTAACCAGAAGGGAGCTTCAATTTGAACTTAGCAATCAAGTCACACCACTAAGCAAATGAAGGAGCTACAGGCCTTAGAAGAAACTAGTTCTTAGGATGTGAGACTGGGCAAGTGCTGTGCCCAGGTTACAAAAGGCACCTGTAATATCCGTGTTACTGGGTTTGCAGGCCATGAAAAGTTCAGAAAAAGATCAGCCTAGTAAAAGATTGAGGAAAACCATCGTAGTTCATTTGTCTAAATATACCATTTTGAAAAAAAGTCAGAACAAGTGAATGTAAAGACTGGAACTGGAGAAATTAGGTGTTTTCCTATCAAATAGCTTGTCAAGCCAAGCAGATCATAACCTTTGAAAGGTACTGGGCTACCCAGATCTTGTAAAAGTCTGTGAGGTGCCCTTCTGAAACAGGCCCAAGAAAAGCATGACCAAGTACTATTGCTGATGTTTTTGTAGTAATGAAAAATCAAGGGAAACACCCCAAATTCAGTTATTTGGTCTTTATGTGGAAAACAAAACAAAAAAGAAAATTATCTGGACACAAAAAACATGCCTATAAATTTGGGTAGAGCTGACAATCATGAGTCATGACTTTTCAGGTATGAAAAGTCATTCAATTGTTGGAGAAATTGAAAGATATAAAATAGAAGCAGCAAATAAACTGCAACAGCAACCCTAAAATTTTAGTTCTGGTCTGGCCAGCTGGAGAGCAATAACAGAGGTTTGACTGTGAAGTGCACTGGCATGGTGACTCTAGTCGAGGAAAACTGTTAATAGATATTGTAAAAATAAAATCCAAGGAGTAAACATGTAGGTAATAAATAGAAACTGCAAAATATCAGGTCTGAGAGCACCAATAGGCTTTAACTGCTCTAACCAGCCTCACATGGGGCCTCTGTCCACAACCCTGCCCATAGACCCAGAAGCGCCATTTCAGCTCCAACTTAGGACTTCTGATGTGCCCCTAACTCCTGGAGAGACCTCAGACCTGGATTATAGGTAGCTTGTGTTCTTTAGATGTACTTTATTGCCTGTCTTCTGCTTTGTCTTTGTTTTCTAGGTTGATTTTGGACCTGTGTTGTAACCTTATTTCCTTCTCCTTTTGTTCCTGGCTGGAGAGCCTATGTGATCTCTGGACCTAGCTCATCATTTTGCCTTCTCTGGGACTATTGGAGGGCCCTGTTAACAGACTACCAGTAAGTAGTGTGATCTATGTACTGTGTTCAGATGTGGGACTGTGCCTTGGTCAGCACAGGCACTGCCTGCACTGAGTCATCCTCGGCCTGTGGCTTTCCCTCCCTTAGGGGAGCAGCTGGCCCTTACTGCTTCTTGGCACAAGGTAAATCCTTCCAACTCATTAAAATAAACTGGGTTGTGGTTGATAATGTGCATTTATCCAAAAGTGAGGTGACTGAGCAGGGGTATTTGACCTCTGAAATTTGACAAAGAAAGCTGGAAAGAAAAAATAAAAGGGTTGAAATAATAGTTGGCTTGGATTACTATATGATAAATAACATTTAATAAGTGTCAGGGAAAACATCCTCAAATTTTATCCATCTAAGTTCCTCATGCAGGTGTGGGCTAGGTGAGGCAAATTGCAAGAAAGCAGTAAACTTTCACAGTTGTTTTTTTTAGTGAACTGTTTCCTGGCTCCAGGGATAGAAACCATAATGGCAACTAGATATAATGAGTAGGAACTCACTGAAGAGGAGGGATTTGTTGAGTCTTGTCTTGAAACTTTCTTAGTGGGATGAAATTAGCAGAATTCCTTGAAACAGAAACAACTCCCTGACAGTTTTGCCAAATAACCCTCAAAACCAGCAAATACTCAACAAAGGGGAGGGTTGCTGCATAGCATGAAACCGTGGACCTGTTAGAAGTGGGACTAGAAAAAAAGCATAAAGGGGAATGAGAAACTCTTGTTCTAGAGCATTGCTAGAATTTTTTAAAAGAACAAAAAAGCCAAAATAGATGTAATGGATGGGAGTAGCATAAGCTGTTTCCTGAAGAACACTGAACCGCTTGGTAGCCATCTGACCAAGTAACCCCATCAGAGAAGAGAGAGTTATTGGAGGTTATTGAAAATCTATCAAGAAGTGTGAATGTTCACTCTCCCTGACTACTCATTGCAGTTTGTTTCTTTAGCAAGAGCTGAAACAGGTAGGATAATAAAGAATACAGTGTGGCATATGTCTCTGTATTTGTAGCATGGTATGATGATCGTGTTTCATAGTAGAAACATCCAGAACGGAAACATTAGTAATAATCTGTGATAAGGATATGGCAAAAAGCCTGAAATTAAGCCCAAATAAACCAGAGCTACTTCAAAAAGAAGTTGTATTCTTTTGGCCTGTGGTCAAGGAAGAGGGAATTCCTGCTAGTGATGACAACATATACTATATAGGGATTACTAGTACTGTAAGAGTTCCCAGATGTGTGCAGTTTTACAGTTTTTAAAAATAGCTGCTTTTGTGCATGGAGGAGGAAATCCATTTGAATGTGACTTGACATTGACACGGTTAAAAACAGCTGTGTTGGCCTCCTTGGGTTTCAAAACGGATTCTTGCATGCTTGAGCTTGGATGGTCTTGAAACAAACAAAAAGACTTACAAGATCAATGGCTTATACAGAAAATCTGAGCTTCATAAAAATAGAAGAAAATGCGTCACTGAGTGTTGGGTAAGTCTAAGGAGTATTTTCACTTTTTAGGGCTATAAGGAATCTCTGTGACTTAAGACACTGTCTGTATTTGGCAGGTTGCTCAGAGAAGCTGTGGATCCCTCATCTCTGAACGTGTTCAAGGCTGGGTTGGATGGGACTATGGAAGGAGGGTTGGAACTCGGTGATCTTTAAGGTCCCTTCCAACCCAAACCATTCTGTGAGATATGTTCTCAGTTTTGGGAGGCAATCTGTTCAAATTACAGTCCAGGGCATGTGTTGTCTCTTTAGATCCCAAGTCAGATACAATGCTTAAAGATTTCTGAGATTCATTGAGGCCGTACAGTATTACCCACCTATGTAGCTATGTATGCTAGAAATGCTCCTGAATGGATCAAAAGTGACTCTTGGCATTTAAGAGTAGAGTGAGTGAATTAGGTTTTCCAATTAAAGTTCACGCAAACACAGATATCTTGGGGATAAGCCTATGGTCACAGAATGGACAATTTCATGACCATAGGATAGAACACTCCTAAGGAAAAATGGAAAATGTGTGTTGTTACCATTGAACTTACTACTTCACTAATGTAGTAATAAGATAGTTTTCTATAAAACTGAAGGATGATAAAGAAAGCCTAATCTCATATATAGCAGTCCTGGACTAGGACAAGAACTAGAAGGTACAGGGTTATTCAAGACTGTGTAGATGGTTGGCTCAGTCTGATGGAACTCTTGTATGACCACGATAAAAAGGAATAAGCAAAAGAAAATGTGAAGTCTTAATACATTTTCAAAATAATGATTTAGTGGAAACAGAAGAGAGGTGATGTGACATGATGGAGAAATTAATAGGGAGTTTTGTCTGGGGAAACAGGAATCATCATCATGGCTAGATTTTGGAAGGGCTTTACCCACGTTTGTTACAAGCGTGCTGGTGGCTAAAAAGGCCAATACGAGACAGGCACAACCGGTTGCAAAAGGCACAGCAGACAGTCTCCTTAGGTGGTGTATTCTGCAAGGCACGAATCTTTCTGCGTTGTCTTTTCTCCTCGAGAGTCATCCTGTGTGCATTCTCAAAAGCATCAGCAGCATTATAGATGGTGTGTCTCCACACCTCCCGATTGGAGGCCAGAGTAGACCAGTTGTGTTGATCAATATGGCCAAGACTGAGATGTTGTTTCAGGGAGTCCTTGTATCTTCTCTTTGGGGCTCCTCTCATGTGGCAGCTGGTGGCAAGTTCACCATAAAGCAAGATCTTAGGGAGGTGGTGGTCCTTCATCCTTGAGATGTGCCCTGCCCAGCGCAGCTGTGTTCTCAGCAACATGGCCTCTATACTTGTGACTGCTGCTTGTTCTAGAACAGATGTATTAGTCGCATAATCTGACCAGTGGATGTTTAGGATTGTACGGAGGCAGCGTTGATGGAAGTGTTCTAAGAGTCGCAGGTGGTGGTGGCAGATGACCCATGATTCAGATCCCTTTAAGAGAGTAGACAGCACAATGGCTCTGTAAAAACTGATCTTTGTGCTTTTCTTCAAGTGTTTATTTTGCCAAACTCTTTTATGAAGCTTTCCAAAGGCACTATATGCCTTTGCTAACCTGTTGTCTATCTCTCCGTCAATCTTACCATCCGAGGAGATGAGACTACCTCGGTAATTAAACTGCTGGACTGATCTGAGCTCTGATTTGCCAATGGTGATGTGGGAATGATGGAAGACTTCCTGAGGTGCCAGTTGATAGAGAACTTCTGTCTTCTTTAAGCTGACTTCCAGCCCAAAGAGCTCAGCAGCATCTGCAAAGCAGGATGTTAAATGCTGCAGAGCTGCTTCTGTGTGGGCCACAAGGGCAGCGTCATCAGCGTAAAGCAGCTCCCGGACAAGATGGTTTAAGGTCTTAGTGTGGGCCTTCAGTCGCCTTAGGTTGAAAAGGCTTCCTTCAGTACGGTATCGAATGTAGATACCGTCCTGATCACTGAGGTCTGCCGTGGCCCTTTGGAACATCATGCTAAAATAGACTGTGAGTAGGGTTGGTGCGAAAACGCAGCCTTGTTTCACACCACTGGTTATTGGAAAGGGCTCAGAAGGTGCATTGCCATATCTGACTTGGCTGTGTTGATCCTCATGGAGTGAGATGATCATTTTAAGGAGCTTGAGGGGACAACCTAAGCATTTCAAAATCTGCCATAGACCTTTTCTGCTCACAGTATCGAAAGCCTTGGTGAGATCAACAAAGGTTACATAAAGACCTTTGTTCTGTTCCCTACACTTCTCTTGCAGTTGTCTGAGAACAAACACCATGTCTGTGGTACTCCTATTGGCTCTGAAACCACACTGACTTTCAGGTAGAATTCCTTCTGCTATAGTGAGTATTAGTCTGTTTAAGAGTATTCTTGCCAGGATTTTGCCAGCAATGGAGAGCAGAGTGATACCACAGTAATTTGAACAGTCTGATTTAATTCCTTTCTTCTTATATAAGGTGATGATGACTGCATCACGAAGGTCTGATGGTAGTTAGCCTAGTTCCCAACAGCGCACCACAAACTCGTGAAATTTAGCATGGAGTGCAAGGCCCCCATATTTCCAGACTTCGGGTGGAATTCCATCAACCCCAGCTGCCTTGCCGATTTTCACCTGCTGTATGGCCTTGAGGGTTTCTCCTAAGGTGGGGGCAGTATCCAATTCATACTTCACTGGTTGTTGTGTGATAGACTGAATAGCTGAGTCTTGAACTACGTGGCTAGTACTGAAGAGAGTCTGAAAGTGTTCAGACCATCGATTCAGAATGGAGGTTTTGTCAGAAGTGTTTGACCATCAGCGCTGAGTAGAGGACTTTGGGCTTGGTATGTAGGCCCATATGCTGTTTTCAGGGCTTCGTAGAATCCTCTGTGATCACCTGTGTCTGCTCATAATTGTGTTTTTTCAGCTAGATTGATCCACCACTTGTTGTGGATGTCACGGAGTTTCTGTTGGAGCTTCCTGCATGCAAGACGAAAGGCTGTTTTTCTTGTGTGACAGGATGGCAGTGCAAGGTGTGCTTGGTGGGCGGTTCTCTTCTTCCTCAACAATTCCTGGATCTCTTGATTGTTTTCATCGAACCAGTCCTTGTTCTTCTTGAAGGAGAACCCTAAGGATTCTTCAGAGGACTGCAGGATGCTGTTTTTAATATGGTGCCAAAGTGTTTTAGGAGAGGGATCTGTAGAATCCATGGAATGGTTTTCGAGCCTAGTTTGAAGATTAGCCTGGAATTTGTTTCTCACTGGCTGATTGGAGATTGTTAACTTGGAGTCTCCTCCTTGGGATACTGCCCCTTTTAGGTTTGAATTTAAGATTGAATTTACAGCGCGCCAGTCGATGGTCTGTTTGGCATTCTGCACTGGGCATCACACGGGTGTGGTGGACATCGCGGACATCTCTCCGTTGCATCAAGACATAATTGATGAGGTGCCAATGCTTGGATCTGGGATGCATCCATGTTGTCTTCAGACTATTTTTCTGCTGAAAGATAGTATTAGTAATGGTGAGCTGTTGTTCCGCACAGAA